AGGTGATATAGTTAAAGCAAAGAGTCTGGTAATTATGCTTCAGAACACCCTCTGAAATTATGTTTTGCATTGGAGAATAATCATAGTGAAGTGTTATGCTCATATTGTTTATTTAGATTATGAGAGTGGGTTTGTGAGGTGAAACAGAGAAGAACAGAGGCAGTATGAGGGTCATATTTGGCAGTGCGACTAATGGAAGTGTGATGACTAAAATATGAGAAAGATGTCACTCAGCTTAATTAAATGCTGGCAGTATGTTTAAGAAGAAATTATGAAAAGTAAGCATAAGATCGTCAGTACATTTAAAGGCCAAATGTTCAGCTACATTCAATTTAATTAAAATTGCACAAATAATTGTATTGAATATTTTTTACAAATTATGAATTATATGGCTTACACCTGAAAAGTCATCACTTTTTTGATGTCATTAAACTTGATAGTGAACTTCTAGTCTCTGATGCCAAGTGTAGCAGGTTGAAGTCCTTAATTCATATTAAACCAATCTGAACAGTATTATTGTTGGTTTAAGAAAATGTTGTGAAAAAGATGGCAATTGAAAGGCCTGACATCATCATGGTGTGTTATTTGAATATGTGACCACTGATGGTACCTGCCTCCACTCTGGACGTAGAATCTCCATATTCCTTACACACTTTCTGGTCTGGCCAAAGCACGTAATACCTCTGCCACCACCTCTTTTCCTTCACCTTCTACTCTACAGTTACATTTGCCCAGATTTTCATTCTCTTCTGCAATAGAACTGTGCGGATGTCTTTGGTGTGAAGGAACATCAGCCTTTTTTCATGGTGCTTTATCCCTCCCTGCATCTTCTGGACGGTCTGTCTAGACAGCTAAAGAAAGTCCCTGTAATTACATTCCTGAACTGCAGTTATCACCGCTCATTACAAAGGGGGCCTGGATTAACTGTATTTAATGGAGGTGCTGGTTCGGTAGCTGTATGAAGCTCCAGTGGAGAGCTCAGCTCAGTCATCATCATAACTTCCCCGTAGGCGCTGGCGGGTTGCTATTAGGTCCCTGTGAAGGTTTTTTAGTCCAGATTGCAAAAGCCCAGGTTGCTCAGCTTCCAGATGCTCTCTAGTAGAAAGGATCTTTGTGAAAACTTTCAGGTTATTTTTGTCATAGGTTTTGTGCAGAATGCACAGCCAATTTGGGGAAGTTTCAGCCTTTATTCTCATTACTGTCAAGGCATGAAAGTTATTAAGCATTTTTTAAATATTTTGATAGGCTTTTTATTTTGCCTGTACATGTTTCACAGTCCTTCACTGAGGTCTGCCTTATGTGGAACTCCATAAATTAAGGTGTAAAACATGGGGTAATTGCTTTTGTTATACTTCTGCACTTCTGATCGTTGCACAGTGGGTTTTGTTTGGTTAGGATTTTTTTCCTTTAACATACTTGGAGTATGCTGTTGAGACTGTTGCAGTAACCACACTAAAACGTGGTGGGAAAACAGAAATAAAGGTACCTACCATCTTTATGGCAGGTAGATGGTATAGATGGTTTTGTAGCTGGTATAAGTGGTTTTACAGCCATTGGAATGCCATGAATTTTCAGTCTGAGGCCATACATTGCTTAGAAGTAGTAAGCAGTTACTCTTGAACAGCTGAGCTCTAGCACAGCCCTGGCTGAGCTCCTTCTGGTGTGCAGGGACCAGAGCGCTTTCAGCAGACACTGAGCTTCTCATATACGGTGACAGGACATCGGAAATTTTGCAAAAGCTTTGAAAACAAAGTAGGAGATGGCACAGCTGATGCACTTCATCCCATAAGGTCTGCTTGTCTCATTTGTGCTAATATTTGAAGCTGCCTTTCATAAGAGGTGACCCATATTCCGGAGGCCATTCTGCAGATCAGGGACGTTAGTTTCATGAAACAAAAGCTTGGTGAGTCACAAGTTATTGTAATTCTGGTGGCAATACATTCTTTTCCAAACACAGGGTGATCTTCAGAGTTAAAATGTGAACTTGTATCTGTCTATTTCAGTTAAAATTGTGGATTGCTGGAATTCAGTGCTTTGGTATCCGTAACAAGTTTAGCTTTAGATGGAATTCAAACAAATCCTGCAAGACTTAAGAAACTTGAAAATCCAGTTGGTTTGAAGACATTGTAAGATTAGCTCTTCTTTTCTAAATATTTTATTTTGTGTTTGTGCAGAAGGGTTGTTTTTCATTCCTTAATTTTAGTTAAGGGACAACTGTGAAGCAATTTTCCATTTCTTTTAAATTTGCTGTAGGGCAAAAATTGTTCCTGTTGTTAGAAGAAAGAAATTATTTTAATAAGAAAGCTGCATGTTTATACCCACCAACTATGAACTATTCATATGATATCTGCAGCATTTGTTGAATCTTGTTAACTAAGCAATTACAGAATCACTTGTCCCCCAAAGTCTTAAAAAGAATAAAGCTAAAGATCTCATTACATTACATTTATTTTTAAACAGTGTTTTCCAGAACATACGGATCTGAATCACAGAACAGCAGCAGGGCAGCTTGTGTGTAGGCCATGATGAAGCTCCATACTGTGTAAGAAGCTTAAGGCAGTGCTATTGATACAAAGTGGTCATATCTAAAACAAAGCAAACCCTGGCTTCAGATGCTTATAAGTAGCACTCATTCTCCTTGCATATCAGAATATTACAGTTTTCGTAAGTGGCTAATGCTAGCAAAAAGGTGCAAGGTGTAGGATTAAATGGCAAGTTGCAGCCTTCTATTTAGAACTATAATGAAGTATAACATAATATAATATGGTAATAATTTTATCCAGGCTGTGGCTGTAGGTCTTCCAGTTGTACCCTTTTTCCTGAGATCCCCAAACTGTACAAACGTATGGTCCCAATATCCTGTTAGGGACCATGGTGAGTAGAAAAAAAGGAAACCTAATGACACAAAATTGAAATGTTTCATCCTCTTCTCTGATGTCTCATTGTCTGGTGAACTGTTTTTCCTGTTTCTTCAATGGACTGGTTATTGGGCTCAGCTTGTGGTCTACTCTCACATTCCAAGAGTCCTTCACTTCGAAGAAGTTGATTGTTACTCTTGGACTACGCTGGGTGCCATTATTTGGGGCTGCCTGTATCAGTACAAGTCCTCCATCTCTTTCCTTTGCCTCATCAGCCTGACACTAAACCTGATGTTTTCTATTTTAACTTCAGAGCCCTGTCTGAGAGCTAGAATCTATCACCCAAAACAGCTTATATGTTCATCATGTCAGCTAGATCCCCCACTGTCTTTGCCACTTCATACCAAAGTCCTGTCATGTTGTTGGCTGAGTAGAGGAAATGTAACTGCTAATGCTTGATTCTGCAGTTGTTCAAACTCAGCAGAGGAGACAAAGTTAGCAGTCCCCATCCTGGAGGAACAGCAATTTAAAACTCAAGTGTCAGAAATCTGATCACAGCTTTTAAGTGGTTCAGTCTCATTCCCTTCTGTCTTGCCACTCCCTGGATGTGTTCATACAAACACACATGCACCCCATTACCCGCTATGATATTTGCAAGTATCTGTGCACATTCCCAATTTTCCTAACAACCTCCCATGCAGCTGGTGCCTCTTACCTTGCATGTTGCTATACCAGTCCTGACTGCAGTAAAACCAAGAGAGGTGTTCCCACTGGTCTCCTCCCTCGTTCATCCATGTACTGTCTGCCTGTCTGTCTACCACCACTCACCCCATAAACACACTCAGCACAGCAGGCCCTATGTTTTAACATCTCATAGTGAGACCCTAGCTGCACCTGCAGCTGGTCTGAATCTAACTAAGAGCCTGTCTCAGAAGTTTGCCAATGTGCAAAATGCAGCATACACCATCACTATACTGGGTTGCTCTAATGCCAGGCAGTCCATAAGAATGATCCAGAAACTGAAAATTGCATAAACAAATAGTGATTTTTTGCTGGAAGATGTGATGCAGCACCTCAGTAGGCCATGCCCTAGGCTATACCTGCTCATCTGCATCACACATCGAGTAATGCCACAGACACTGACCTAGCCACAGATCCATCTTGGTATTTACTGACTTGTTTCAAGTGTGTTCAGGTTGAGATCTTGGTTCATAGTCTTGGATTTTTCGTGCTTTTTCTTTGCTTTCTCACGTCTTTGAACAGTCCTAAAATTGAGTGATGCTGCTGGTGGTAAAATTGTTCCATGTTCAAGTATGCACAGGGTGTTCTGAATTTTAAAGTGTCTTGGTTTCCTGTTTTCACTTACTGTCTCTGAAATCCTAAGAAAATATTTCACCATGTCTGTGTTCTCTCTTGCTGCCACTAACTGTTACTACTCATCAGAATGTTGTCAACTTGTATAATTTTGATCATGAATCTCACTATTTAAAGGGGGGATGGAAGTTGGAAGGTTTTTGTTTGCTTAACAAATCGACTCTTTGGGTTTGGTGATGAAATATCTGACTTGTTGGTGTTTTCATTGCTTTTCCTGTTTTTTCTAACTTCTCTGAAGGTAGGCCCATACTTAAACTCGTTATTCTCCCATCTTAGGAGTTGCTCCATATCTTGATAACTGACTTCAGGAGTTATCATGCAGACCACATTTTCAACCTTTGCTGAACCAGTCACTAATCTGGCAAAATACTGTTTGCTGTTTGGTCGGTTTAGTTTTTTGTTGAGTTAACAAACTGAATTTGGCTTTAATTGAATTTACCTAGACTCCGACAAGTAGTAGAGCTGGCAAAGGAAAGGGTGCAGGACCATATGGCGAAGAGCAGGGGAATAAGAGGTAAGGGCAGCCTTTGGTGACAGCAAGCCATTAATCTAGCTCAGCTGTGTTGTTAAGGCATGCTCTCAGTGAAGCCAAATTTAAATGTCATTCATTAAATTGTGCCATAAACATTTTAATTCTTGGTAGTCTCTTCTTGTGGCTACCCACAAAATACTGAAGTTAATCAAGATCAGGTGTAGGATTCTTTCTAATTACAGAGTTGGTCTACAGATGCAGCCATCTTTCTGCATGGATGTTTTTTTCTGTTTCAGAAGGAAGATGCCATTAATGTGGAAATGGATGAAAGACTGTCTCTTCGGAAGCATCGCTTCATGCGTTTTGCATCATTGGAATATGAAGGAGAGTATTACATGACACCAAGAGATTTCTTGTTGTCAGTAATGTTTGATCAAGTTGAACGTAAGTTGTTTTCTCATTAATGTGTTTGTGAAGGAAAGAAACTTGCAGGTCCCCTTCAAGATGTAATTTGCCAGTCACTGGGATAAGATCCTTTATTTGACACAAATCAACAGAAGCCAGTTTATAAATGTTGTGCATATGGATTCTTACAGGCTTTACCACCCTTTTACACCAGTGAATTTATACTGATGATTTAGAAATCTGGTGACTTGATGAATGAAATTACATCTCTGCATAATTTGCATATCTGATCAGTATGTAGTTCCTCAATTACTTACATGCCACAGAATATAGTAGGAGTGTAATATAATAGTGTTCATAACACTCCTGGCCCCATTAACTGTCTATCCACTTCACCAATAAGTATTCTGTGACCTTATTTCTTAGAAGAAGCAGTGATGGCAGTGACTTGAATGAGTGTAATGAAGCATTGAGCTCAACTCTAGGTTTCTGGTTTCAAATTTCCTTTGGTTTATGCGAAACCTAATTAAAAACAAATCAAAATTGTATGCATGTTCTTAAAAAAGTACTTCTAAAAGCATGCTTTATGAGGAGAAGATAAGACAAGCACACAAATAAGAAGTGCCCTAGGTGGTTGTCCTCTTTTCCTCCAAAAAATTGGCTTTTATAGCTTTCCAAAGAATTTTTTGCTTTACAAAAGTTAAATTTTCCAAATTTCCAAGAGGGTTGTCGTTCAGAGGATGAATACTGTCTTAGTACCTCTGCTCCGGGAGAGGGGTAAATCCCAACTTTAATCATTACATGCTGCAGTCTGCACATACCGACCAGGGCAGCACATTGTCTAGCAAAAACCATTCATAGTCTGGGATGTTCTGCCCAGATGGCTGCAAATGTCCAAGTCATATGGGGGTGCTGAACAGGAAATACAGAAAGGAATTCAAGGTACTGTGGAAAGGCTAGTGAGACAGGGAGAAGGAAAGAGACTGAATGCACTTTGATTCAAGCCTCTGGGAAACCTGGGGCAAAATAGAGTTCACTGAGTTGCAAGTGGTCAAAGAAGAGGAAACAAGAAAATAAGTTTTTTTCTGTCTGCCAAAAATCTGTAGGTGATAAGGATACATAGCTTCACTGCGAACACACAACTTCTAGTATTATACAAAGCTGAATGTAAATCCTTAGGACTTTATGACCTTGAGAGTCATGGAGACTCTCAAAATAACTTTTTTTTAAATAGATGGCTAACAAAAAGAGTTATTTCTCCTTAAAAACTTAGGTTGTTAAGTTAAAAACCTAGAAGAGATTTTCTTTTACGTTTTCCAGTCTGAAACAGTGAAAGACAGTAAATACTGAAATTTTCAGTTTTGAAGGTGTGGGTTTCAGACAGTTGTCTGTGAAAGCAAGGTTAGAGAAATAAGTGTTTTTCAGTCTTAGCTGTTCATACATATTAATTGGTTACTCCAAGTATAATAGTGCACATGCAGATTTTTAATGAAGTGGTATGTGGGTAAGGTTTATTTGTAATGCAGCCAAGTTAATTTCAGTTACTTTGCTAATATGAGCAGAAAACAGCATTAAATAGAAAAAAAAATTAATGACAAAAAAACACATGAACAAAAAAAATCTTTGAACTAATGCATATTTAGAATTTCAAATTGAGATCAGGCTTACAACAATAGCACCATAGACAGTTCATAGAAAAATATTAATCTAATGCTCCTAAACATTTGCTTAACCATCATTGATGTGAATTCTTTAGGCAGTAGCATAAACTGAACCGTAAACAATTCTCTTCAAGTCACATTTCTAGGGATTTTAGGTTTTCTTGTAACTGCAAACACTCAAAGCTTTTGTTAACAGAGAAATAAGATGGTTTAGGTATTTTAAAGTCAGTGGTTTGAACATTTTGTTTAGAAGAGTTTCATACAAGGAAAATGAACAGACCTATCTTAAGTGTCTGCCTGGGTATATTTAGACTAGATGAAGGTGGTTAATTTCATAGCAAAGCATCAATTATTTTGGGAAACTTTCTGCTTATATGGTAAAATTAATTCCCTTTCACCCTGAACAGTGGTTTTAGAAACAAAAACAGGCATGCCAGCACTAATACTAAAAAACCCTTTGCATACTGGCATACTGAGATGCAATTTTAACGTGATAACTGCATACGAATGGTGAGTCTTGTAATACTGAAGTTAAATCTGCAATTATTTGGTTATTTGCTACCTATTTTTTATTAATCACTAATAAAAAAATATGCAAAATTCTTGGAAAAATTTGAAACACCTTGGCAATAATCATTCATCTTCATAGCTATTTGCTTGGAATTTGCCAGTGGTTGTTGTATATAAGAATACGGAAGGCTTAGGGCTGTTCTGAGGTTTTGCTTCTGCTCACTTTTTTACAGATAATAGTCAGGGACATACGATCAGCCTCAGGGGCAATTTAGCTGTGCACACCAAGAGATATTGCTGAGGTTGATCACAACATTCTGCTCCTTTGTTCCTGTTCAGAGATAAACACTTCCAAAGGGGAAAAAGGCAAGTGAAAAGGGGGGTTGAGAAGTTACGGATTGCAAATTCAGGCCTTTGTCCAGCTCCCTTGGGATTGTTTTGCTTAAGGTTGCTTGTCATTGGAGAATTACTTTGAAATCTCCTGTTAGTTCTTAAGCATTATTAAATGTAGGAGAAAGTAAATGCAGTGTTGTGTAAACCAGATAAGTTGTTGGTGCTGGATCAAAAATGCTGATGTTAGAAAATACCAAAATATTTTAGCTATGTCCAGGTTGTCAAGTGAATTCCTGTACACACTTGGTTGGAATTTATTACAGAAGCAGGAATCTTAGGCGTGCCCCTTTGACAAGGTTGCAAAACATGTAATAAATTATGATTTATTATAGAACACTTCCCAGATAAGAAAACAGTTGAACTGTAGTGCAAATACATCAACTGCCATCCAGCCCAAGTGATCATGAACCCTGCTTGATAGACTTTAGTTCACTAGTTTTACTCATGTGTTTCCTGGTGTATGGGTCTCTCTATTACTCCTTTTATTTAAGGTAGGCCGAAAATTGTGAAATCTTGGTATTCCTCTTGATTAAATCACACCTGCAAAGTTATTTACTGTCAGGGTGATAATGAAGAAAAATATTTACAGTGCTGGCATCTAAGGAGATGATAACTGATAACAAATGCAGGGTTTCCTGACAGACTTACTTTGTTCTGCATATTGACAAAGCAAAGGGCTCTTATAAGGGCAGAAAAGCGCCATCAAAAAAAAAAAAAGTGCTTGCTTTAAAATGCAGTATTTTACATTTGATTACTTTTGTAAGTATTGCCTAATTCTATTGCCGTTAGTTATTTCATGGAAGGAAGTAGCCACATCTTTATAAACAGTGCCAAACAGTAAACGAGATGTGGTAGCATAGCACAGGATTTGTGCCTGTACAAAACACCTGAAAGAGTCTGCAAGATGTTCATGTGAATCATCATGTCTGATGCAACAATAGTTTAGTGGAAAGCTGTTTTCTGTTACCATTCTTGTTCTGTACTGTTACTGTTCTTATCATAATGTAAAAACTTCTCAATGTCTAGTAATATCTAATAAGAATAATACAAACTTGCTGTGTTGCATTGAAAGTTCTAGCATCCTACCCATGGCAGAAGGGTTGGAACGAGATGATCTTTACGGTTCCTTCTAACCTAAACCATTCTATGATTCTGTGATTATAGGCATAAGGGTAAAGCTCAGCTGACTTACACTGAATTTTCATTTCAGTACAAGAGTATTTTTAGAAGACACTTCCAGCTTCGTTTAAAACTTATGCTTTAAAAAGTTGCACATGCTTAGGCTCATATTTCAGATTATGTAACCAATACTGTGTTAGAGCTTCTCCATGGAAGTGTTGCTGGTATACTGTTGTTGTAGAACATATATGAAAATCTATATTAAATTTTGAAAAGGACTACAGGAATCCTTCAGAAAATGAAGATTTTGCAGTACATTAAATCTGGAGTATGCTTATGTTCATTCTACTGGAAAATATTCTACTACAGAAATACCTTCTTGTTTCAAGTAGAAGACAAATGTTCAGGTTAGCTCGTCTGATAACAGTTGATACCTGGTAAATAAAGATCATGATCCTTCTGTATATTCTCAGATTTAATGTATCATAACAGCTTCACATCCCAAATCACTCCTTTATCTGCAGTAAAACAGATTTTCCTGTGTTCCATAGCACTAAGCTGCCAGAGGCAGTATTTCCACAGTAGAGTCCTGTCTGTTAGTGAGAGTTAGTGTATTGTAAGTTTGCTGGGAAGAAACTGTTTGAGTTGGTTAAGCTTTCTGTAAAAACCTGATTGGCACAAGTTTGTGGTATGTTTGCAGGTTTGATGGGATGTGTGGCTTCATGTCATAGTATCAGCATGATCATGACTGACTGAATCTGCGGAAGGATAGAGTGCAAGGCTGCAATGGCTAGAAGATTGAGTTCTCCATTATCCTTAATAAAGATAAGTGCTGGTGCAGTCAGTGGGATTTGGAGAGCCAAGAGGGCCCAGCTAGTAAATGGGCATTTCGGAACAAGCTGAGCCTGCTCAGTCTTTCTGTTTCTGGATCTTGAGTTTTTGCCTCTAGTGGGAGTTCAGATGCCTAAAATTCAGCATCTTGATTTTGACCTGAATTTCATATACAATAACTAATCAGACTGATATGAGTCATGCATGAGAATTCAGAGTCAAAAACTAAGATTTAAGCTTGTGTAACTGGTGAAGCTCCATACGGGAACTGAGGATTAAAATGCTGTATGGAGAGCCACTGGCATACCTGGGGACGGAATGCAGTGAGCTGAATTCTGCTGAATTTCTAATGCATTAACAAATAAATCATTTTCTCTTTATCTCTGTATTTAGTACTTTTTAACACTGATGTGGTGGTGTTGCTCATATCCTCCAGACACAGTAAGATCTCCACAGGCTGGGATATGTAGGACAGAGGGTACAGGTTGGGGGTTGACCTGCTGGAAAGTAGTGAAGGGGAAAGGG